TGGTGGCCAGGGGCTCAGCAGAAGTGGCGGGGCTCTATGTGAGGACCTCCTCCCCTCCAGGTGACGGGCCTGCCCTGGGCTCCTCCCCAGCCCTGTCTCTGGAGCTCACAGGTGCGCCTGCACCTGCGCATGCACCTGCGGCTTGGCGTATTAACAACGACCGTCCTGGTAACCAACGTGTGTGGCATGCTCGCTCCATGCTTTCAACGCTCAGGAGGTGTTAACTCCATGAGGGAATCACTCTCCTTATTCGCATCTTACAGATGGGGACACTGAGGCTCAGAAAGGTGAAGTAACTTGTTCAAGGTCACAGGCTAGTAAATGGTTAGAGCAGGCTTTGAACCCAGGCCATCTCTGATGGGAAGCCTAGTCCCTTGTCTCCTGCAAGCCTCAGTTTCCTCACTCGTAAAACGAGCACCAACATAACCTCCCTTCCTGGGCGAGGGTGAGGGCGAAGCAGGCCAAGGGTAGAACAGCGAGGGTGTCTGCAGGAGCTGACTACAGCTCCGCGGTGTGGGGGTAGGTCATGTCCTCTGCCATCATACAGCCTGGGACTGGGGTCTTTGGCCATTTGTGATTTGGCCTTGGACCGTCCCCAGTTTGGAGCCTGACTTGCCCCGCCATCAAGCTGGGAAAGCACACTTGCCTGGCACAGGGCCTCTGGGCTCCCTCGGGAGAGCGGGGATGCCCACTCTGGACTTGAGGGCTCAAGTCTGTCCCCGGGATGGAAGCCAACTCCTTCCTTGGCCCTGGGCCCCCACTCCCAGGGTATGAGATGCTTTCGAGGGAGAAGAGCTTAGATTGCTCTACACACACGGTCTGGAAAGCCCTGGCCTTGGGCAGGCCCCCCAGCACTTAGCTGAGGGCTGTGGCCAGTTGGTTTTCTGCTTGGCTCAGACCTCTCAAGGGGGTTGGGGGCAGTGAGAGTTATGGGGTGTGGCCCCCGGCCCACATGACAGCTCCCAGACCTCTTGGAAAGCCTGCTTCAGGACCCTGGTGCCAAAGATGGGCTGGGATCTTCCTAGGCCTATGAGGTGTCCGTGTGCGTTCGGGCTTGGGGGCTCATGTTACAAGACCCCCTCCCTAATTCTTTCCACCCCTCGGGCAGGGCCTGGCATCTTCGTACCAAAAGTCTGGGACTCAGAGGAAGAAAGAGGTGGGAAGTTTTACTCATTGATTCATTCCTTTGGCAGACATTTATTGAGCAACTGCTGTATTGTGGGGGCTGGAATGAGGTTCTTGTTCACCTGGGCCTCAGTCTAGTGCTAGATGGATAAATGGGCAGTGACAATACCACAGGGCACCTGCTGTGGGAACCCAAAGCAAGCACCAAGCCCAGTGGACTTCCTGGAGGAGGTGCTAAGTGGAGTCTCACAGGAGGAAGAGGAGGAGGTGTTCTTTAGAGAACCGCTTGGGTGGGAAGACGCCCACACTGGCATGGTGGCTGCAAGGAGAGGGTGCATGGCATTCAGGCCAGGTGCCACAGGTGCCACGAAGTCCCCGCTGCCTCTTCTGTCCTGCCACTTCTAACAGTGCACAGAGACATCTAGGTTGTCGTAATTCTTTCCATCTCGCTCGAGATTCTGGGAGGCCCCAGAATGCCAGCTCTGGGTTTCCTTTATTACGTTTCCACACAGGGCTGGCATACAGTAGGCGCTCAGTGATGCTGCTCCCAGTAGCCAACCCACTTTGCATCCCTCCCCCTTTTGCATCTGTTCCCTGAGACTGAGCTGGGTGCTCCCTCCTTTGTGCTCCCACAGCACTTTGTGTGTCAGTCAGAACTCCTATCGGTACAGCACTTTCAGCAGGCGAAGCCCTTGTACGTATATTAGTGCATTTGATGTTCACAAAAGCCCTGTGTAAAATGTGTCATGATTATCATCGTCAGTCATCACCTGCCAGGAGGCAGCACAGCATGGTAATTTAAGCGTGTGGGCTCTGCAGCTGGAACACGTGGGTGTTAAGTCCAGGCTCTACCACTTACTGGCTGTGTGACCTTGAACAGACTGCTTAACCTCTCTGTGCTTCAACCTCCCCATTTGTAAGATACGAGTAACATACCTCACAGGAGCACTGAGAGGCTACATGCAGAGTCAGAACACTCCCTACTACACAGTCACTTCAATAATAACGGTAGCTGTTCTCATCTCTTCTACAAACAAGGATACAGAAGGTCAAGGGCAACATCACCTAGCATCCTGTGGTTTTATCTCTAAGTCTTTAGGCTTCAAATGTTGTGTTCTGGGGTATTCTTCGAACCCCACCCCCCAATCTCCTTGGTCACCCTGTCTCCTAAGTTATCTGTTTATGCATCTGTCTGGCCTTCTGGATCAGAGCTCCAGGGCAGGGACCTGTGTTAGCACTGGGCAGTCCCCACCCCCACCCCCATGCCTGGAACAGTGCCTGGCTCCCAGGGAACACTCAAAATCTGTGTTGAAGGAACGATGCACTCCGTGTGCCAGGCATTACGCTCCGTCCTTCCAGACGGAGTATCTCATCTGAGCCTCTAGACCACTTTATGAGATAGTTAAAAATTCTACAACTGTATCGAGGTACAATAACCTGCACGTATCAGTTCGGATACACGTACATCCCCGTGAACTCATCATTACCAGCAAAGCTCACAAATATTCCTCTCGCCACGAAAATTTCCCCCGGCCTCTTTGAAATCCTTCTCTCCCTCCAATTATAGATTTATTTCCAGTTTATAGGTACTGAGAGGTTAAGCTTCCCAGGGACACTTGGCCAGCAAGGAGCCACACCGGGATCTGAATCAAGGTGACCTGTCCACAACCTACCTCTCGGCCACCGTGCCGCGCTGCCTAGGCAGTACCAGGCAGAGGGTGGGTGCTTGAGGCTGTTTGTAAAGAGGCCCCACCTGGGAAGTCCTCCCCTCCTCTGTGCCCCCCTCGCTCAGGTCCAAGAAGATGACAGCGGGGGTGGCTGTCTCCGTGTCTGTGGTGCGAGGAGCAGGGGTGTTTGGGTACAAAGGGCAGACGACAGGGACATTGCAAGGGGACCAGATAAAGGTGTCCTAGAGCCAGGAGCCAGGCGATGCAGTGAGCCTGCGGGTCCCGTGGTGGGTGCGGGGCTCGGCGTGCGTGCGTGTGACTCTGTGACTGTGACCGTGTGACTGCTGATGGCAGGGACACGGCAGCTCTCGGAGGTGGGGGCGGAAGGCGTTAACTGTATGAATGCTGGTGTGGGTGGGGGCCCTCCCCACTGCCGGGGCCTCAAACCTGGGGGCTGAGGGAGGTAGTAAACATCAGGGTGACTGTGGGAAGCGTGATGGCCGCCCTGCAAGGATGCTGCAGGGGCGTGGGGGTTTGTGTGACTTTGCAGTTCAACAAATTCAAATCCAGCCAATGCTGGCAGTGCCTGTTGTGTGCCAGGCAACCAGCGAGGAGGCGGAGACATGGACCCAGCTTTCAGCTGAATGGTGCTGGCTGTGGGGTCTGTGTGATCACCTTGGGGCTGGCTTGGGGCCTGGTGCCTTTTACCCTTCCTGGCATGAGGTCCTCACAATAACCCTATCCCACTCTGGGACTAGATGGAAGCGCACAGAAAGGAAGTGACTTGCCCAAGGTGACCCAGCTACTCAGCGCCAGGGCAGGATGCGAACCAAGCTGCAGACCCCGAGTCCTTCCCGGCTATGCCTGTGCCAGGGTGCACACGCCTTCCTGGGGCTGCGGGTCCCGAGTGTTGGCCGTGGCCCTGGAGACGACTCCCCAACCACGTGGGCTAGAAATCAGGCCACGGTCACTGTGCTAAGGGGCGGGGCGCTCCGTCGCCCCTAGTTCTCCCTTCCCAAGGGCCAGACTCCTGGACGGAGGGGCGGCGGGGCTCTCCGCGACCCCTGAGCGCCCCGCCCCCGCCTCAGGCCCTCCCAGAGCCCCCCCCCCCCCCCCCCCTTCCCGGTGCTGACTCTCGGCCAGAAGAGGAAAGGCAGTCTCCACCCACCTCTAGCACTCTCCCTTCTCCTTTATAAAGGCCGGAACAGCTGAAAGGGTGGCAACTTCTCCTCCTGCCGCCGGGAGCAGCCCGCCTGTCTCCCCGCGCTCCCGCAGCCTCCCCCGCTGCCTCCCTGAGGGCTCCCCTCCGGCCGCCAGCGCCCATCTTTCATTCCCGAGATTGAGACATTTTGCGCACACACACACATACACACACGCGCAAAAAAGGGGGAAAAAGAGGCCCACCCTCCAGCCTCGTTGCAAAGAGAAGCCGGAGCAGCCGCAGCTCACAGCCCGCAGAGGACGCCCAGAGCGGCGAGCGCGCAGACAGACGGACCGACGGACTCGCGCCGCGTCCACCTGTCTGCCGCGCCCGGCACTGCGCGCAGCGGGCACGCCGCGAGCGCGGACCAGCCGTGCCCGCCGCCCGGGCCCCGCGCCAAGGCGCACACGCTCCGGCCCCCCCCACCCGGCCCGGGCGGGAGTTTGCACCTCTCCCTGCCCGGGTACTCGGGCCGCCGCTGCAAAGCCAACTTTGGAAAAAGTTTTTTGGGGGAGACTTTGGCCTTGAGGTGCCCAGCGCTGCACTTTCCGACTTCGGGAGCCTTTCTAGAAAATGTTGCAAAAAAGCTAAGCCAGCGGGCAGAGGAAAACGCCTATAGTCGGCGAGTGAAGACGAACCACCGGCTGCCGTGTTCTTTTTCCTCTTGGAGGTTGGAGTCCCCTGGGCGCCCCCACACGGCTAGACGCCTCGGCTGGTTCGCGACGCAGACCCCCGGCCGTGGATGCTCGCTCGGGATCGGGATCCGCCCAGGTAGCGGCCGCGGACCCTGGTCCCGCGCCCAGGCCCTCCCCAGCCCCCCAACGACGGAGCCGGGGCCGGGGGCGGCGGCGCCCGGGGGCCATGCGGGTGAGCCGCGGCGGCGGCTGCAGCGGCCTGAGCGCCTGATCGCCGCAGACCCGAGCCGAGCCCACCTCCTTCCCCAGCCCCCGCCCCCCACCCTGGCCGCGGGGGCGGCGCGCTCGGTCCACGCGTCCGGGGCCCCGCGGGGCCGGGCCCGGAGTCGGCATGAATCGCTGCTGGGCGCTCTTCCTGTCTCTCTGCTGCTACCTGCGTCTGGTCAGCGCCGAGGTGAGTTGCGACGGCGGCTAGGGCTGGTTCGCTTCATTCATTACCCCCACCCTCAGCCCCTGGTCGCCCCCTCCCCTCCCTGCAGTGAACTTTGGACCCTTGCAGCCCACGGGCCTAGCGCAGGGCGCTAGGTGACCTCCGAGGGCTGGGACGCGAGGTGCGGGAGGTGCCAGGCTCTAAGGGGAGGGGGCAGGGGTGGCTTTCTTTCCCACGGGCGATCCCAGATCTCCGGCCCTTTTAGCGTCGGGGAGGGGTGTGTGTGGCCCTGTCCCCCACCCCTCAGGAACCTGAAGGGAGAGACAGTGGGGGTGGTGCCGAGGGTGCAGAAGGCAGCGCGGTCTTCAAGCCCACTTCGGTTTCAGCATGGGTTCCGTCCGGGACCCGGCTTGCACGGGAGGTGCGAGCTCACGCACCGGTGGCAGCCACGCCAACCTTCCGCGGGGGGGTTGCCTCCCCACCCTGGCTCGGGCTCCCGGTCGGGACTGGCGCCCTCGGGCCAGCGCGGGACTCGCCCGCCCCAGAGCGGAGTCCAGCAGCAGCTCGTGTCTTGGGCTCGGGGGCGGGGGGGGGGGTGGTGGTGGTGTCGAGTTGTGGTGATGGTCTTCTGGGGAACTGGGGCGCTGCGCTGGTCCTGAGGCACACTTGGCTGAGGGCCGGGTGTGTGCCCCAGGCCCCGCCATACCTGCGTCCGCGCCCTGCGAGGGGAAGCGCCTCTCTCCCCCGCTTGGCAGGGTGCGGAGCGCGCNCCTGGCTCGGGCTCCCGGTCGGGACTGGCGCCCTCGGGCCAGCGCGGGACTCGCCCGCCCCAGAGCGGAGTCCAGCAGCAGCTCGTGTCTTGGGCTGGGGGGGGGGGGGGGGGGTGGTGGTGGTGTCGAGAGAGAGGTTTCGGACAGTCGGGAACTGGGGAGGAGCAGAGGCTTTTAAGGAATCCAGCCCTCGGGCCGGGTGTGTGCCCCAGGCCCCGCCATACCTGCGTCCGCGCCCTGCGAGGGGAAGCGCCTCTCTCCCCCGCTTGGCAGGGTGCGGAGCGCGCCTGTAAAAGCGTAGCTGCAAGGCAGGTGGGGTGTAAAAACGTCTGCGGGAGCTATTAGGTCGGATCATTCCCCCCCGCCCCCCCACTCCTCCCAGCCTCACGTAGCAGTGAGTTGGCAAGTCCACCCGGAATCCAGGTGGGAAAGGGGGCGGGGCAGGGAGGAAGCGCGAGGTGGAGGGGAGGAGAGTGCAGCCGGGAGCGCGGCGCGCCTGGGTCCCGTCCCGCCTCCGCTCGGCCGCGGCCGGGAGTCCGCACCTCGCCGGCTCCCGAGGAGGGCCGCCCCCCCACCCCCACCCCCACCCCCCGCCCTGGGCGCACAGCGAGGCGCAGGAAGGAGGAGGCGGCGGCGAAGGGGTTAAGGTGAAGGGCTCCGAGGCCGCGGCCAGACCTTGGGCCGCCGCCAGCGCAGGTTGTTTTGACCACGGAGGAGCCGTCGCCGTCTCCTTTTGTTCTCGGGGCTCCTCGAGGGCCGCCGGCCGCCCGCCCTGGGGCCCCGCCCTTCCGCGGCCAACCCCCCGCGGTCCGCACCCGGGAGCGAGGCCGCAGGGCTTGGCCTGGCCGCCTGCAGGCCCCTCCCGGCGCCCCCTCCTCGCCTCTCGGCAGTCCCCCGGGCCGCGGCCAGCTGTTGGGGAGGGGGGGCGCCGGCCGGCTCCAGCTGCCGCCTCGCCTCGCCGCGGGGCCTGGGGGCCGGGCCCGGTGCCAGGGCGTCCTGGGAACGGCGGCGCCCCCGCCGCTGCTCTCCGCAGCCCACCCCGCCCGGCCCTCGGACTCGCTCACTCACCCCACGCATGCACACTCTTTGGCCGGAGGCGATGCTGCGCTCCGGCGGGCGGGCGCGCAGAGCGACGGGCACGCACTACCGCGGCAGGGTCGCGCGCCCGCCGCCGCCGCCGCCACGCCCGTGCACACGCGGGGCACACGCGCGCGCACCGCATACACACACGCACTCATGTACGCCCCGAACACGCGGCCTGAACACACGTGCGCGCCCACCCACGCACGCACACGGGCGCGCAAGGCCCCTCTACGCCCAGCGCCGGGGTCCCACCCCCGTGCAACAGGTGGAACCTTGTCACCTGTGGAGTGCCCCCATTTCCTTGCTGGGCACTAGCAGGGAGGGGACACAGGGACCCTCCCATCGGGTCCTGGCTCCGCGGCACCCACTGGGTTTTGCCTGCTCAGGTCAGCCTGACGCCCCTCAAACACTACCCCTCTGTGATTTTTGTTTTCAACGGCCCCCCCCAGGTGGCCGAAGATGGTGTCTATGCAACTGGGGCGGGTTGGGGGGGGGCGCGCTCTGATGTCTAGAGTATTTCTCTCTTCAAATAAGCTGTTCTCTGAACCTCCAAGACCCGAGGACCCTGAGGCGCTGAGAGGGGGCTCCCCCCTGGCTGTTCTGTCTTGATTGCTGATCCCAACACGCTCTAGAGAAGCTGGGTGACAGCTGGACAGGCTTTCACGGGCCTGCCCTCGCCATTTCCAGGGTCACCCAGCACTTCCTCCTCCTTTCCCACAACTCTGGATGCGTGTGTTTGGGGGGGACCCTATGACACCAAAGCTGGTGTCTTTCTCCTCACTTGACTCACGGCATCCTGGGACACGCGGCCCCCTCGGGAACCCACAATTGTGTGGTGCTTTGCAGTTTCCCAAGCACTCTCCTGCTAAGCCGCAGTCAGCCTCAGGCGGCTCTGGGGGAGGTGACCTAAAGGGAAAACCCATCCACTTGAGGGCCAGCTGGGGACAGGAGGCTCCCAGAGAGCCTGCTGGTGGAGGTGGCCTTGGGGCTGGCCTTGTCCCTGCCTGAGCCTCAGGTAGAGGCCTCGGCAGCTAGGAAGGAGGGGTGGGCGCTCTGATGCAGGGCGTGGCAGGGGTGTCTGCTGAGGCCTAAGGAGGTCCCGTCTCCATCAGCTGATCTGGCTTCCGGGAGGCTAACTCCGCGGTCACATGACGCCCCCGGCACCCATCTGACGGGAAGGGGCGATGGGGCTCCGGCAGCCCTTTACCACCCAGCTTCTTTCTGGTTTGCTAATGGCCTTAGGTTGTGGGAGACCGACTTGCTGACATCTCCCAGCCCTGGAAGCGTCTGCAGGTTTAGGACCAAACAGAATTTCGAGGCTCTGGTGCAAGCCCTAGAAGGGTGTGCTCCTCGCCCGGGGTGGGGGTGGGGTTGATTCGGGGAGCGGCCGGAGAGTGGTAAAGACTTGTTTGCTGTGGGCTTCCTGGGTCCTTCTTAGTCTCCCCTCACCCGCCCATTGCCCCCCAGCCCCAAAATGCCCTTTCGAGGGCAGCTAGGACAGCTATTTCATTTTCCGGTCGATTCACTTATTATCTGTTTTCCTCACAAGTCTAAACTCACTGGAGGGTTTGTCTCACTCACCACTGTCTCCCGTTCTGGGAATGGTGCCCGGCCCAAGGTGGATAATCTATAAATATTTGTGGGAAGGACAGTGGATGTAGGGGGAGTGGGGACGGTGAGGAGGAAGGACCAGACATGTGCCCAGCGCTTGCTAAGTGCTTTACAAACATGCCCTCATGTAGCCTGGCCCCCAGGGCAGTGCCTCCTCATTGGAGCCTCCCCTCCACCACCACCCCCCCCCCATCTCAAGAGACAAGCTTGTCTTTCTTTTCTCTTCTTGGGACTTAGACTGCCAAGGTTTCGCAGGACAGAGGAAAAAACAGAAGCAAAGTCAGACTGCAGAGGCCTTGCGTATCGTGAGCCAGGGCCTGGGTTTCAGACACCCCCAAACGCGTGAAAGTTGGTTTAGCTTACAGATCCCCTTCCCCTAGAGCTGCAGAATTACCTGGCGCCCCTGGAAATCGCAGATTCCTGCCCCAGAGGCAGCAGCCGCCAAGGGGTCCCGGGGTTGTAATTGGTGCCCTGACCCCTCTTGGGACAGGTTTTCTGCTCCAGGGAGGGGTGTGGACAACCCAGTGTGGGGCTGGGCTTGACGTTAAGGAGGGGTGGGGAAGGTCCTGGGAGCAGTAGACTAGGGAAGTGCTAGGTGGGGAAGTCTGCTTCTAAATGGCTTCTGTGGTCTGCCCAGGGAAGGCCTCTTCAAAGGGCTTGGCTTTGGCGTGGAATCTAAATCAGGCCTGAGACTGTCAGGCAGGCGGGTGCTCGGAGGCCTTGTCGGCTCCTCTCTGCGCCAGACGCAGACAACGCCCTGGTTGCTTGGGCTGAGCCTGTCATCTCCCCCAGCGGATCGGCTGGCGGGCCGGGGAGCACAGCCTGCATATCTGTGTGTGCAGCTGTGGCCCTAGGGGAGGGTGGGGTCCAAGCCCCTTTGATCTGCCAGCCTGGTTGGGAGCAGGTAAGTCACCTGGCCTCACGCTAGCTCGTGCCCTCCTGCAGCTGGTGTTGGGGGTGGGGCGGGGCGGGGAGGAGGCTGTTTGCCTTGGCTGTGCCCCAGCGCCCTCCTCACCACACCCTTGCCCTGTCAGGAACCCCAGGCCTGAGATCTGGGGCAGCTTCGTCAGGGTGCCGTGCCTCTCTTCTCTGCTCGCCTGCCGAAGGAGGGTTTTAGAACCCGGGCTGCTCGACCCTCCCACGCCCGGAAGAGCCTCTGACCCCCAGCAGGTGCCCCTGTGAGTCTCCCCCAGGGCACCTCATCCTGGAGCTGACCACAGGCTGAATTTCCCCACCCCCAGCCCCGGAAGGGACTCGGGCAGTGCCACTGGGGGCCAGGGGGCCATTTCCCGTGGGCCCAGCACAGGGCACAATGCAAAGCCACACACTTCTCCCAGGGCAGCGCAGCTCTCCACCCACCAATTGTCATCCCACCAAATGTCATCCTGCATTGCTGGCCCTGGGCGTGTGTGTGTGTGTGTGTGTGTGTGTGTGTGTGTGCGTGCGCGCGCGCGCGCTGCTCGCTGCTACCCTCACAGGAGCCACACTGAAGGGCTGAATTGGCCACAATGACAGCTCATTAAGTACCCGTTATTTGCTGGCTTCTCTGCTCTATGCAATAACGGCTCCCAGGGACACCGGTAGATATTCTTTGAGCCAGATTTAAAAGATACAGAAGCTTTATCAGGCTTCAGGTTGTTAAAAGGCTTAATCCCAAGAGGCCAGGTTTCCGTAGCAGCTGAATCCCTGCTCTTTCCTGTACTACAGAATTGTTGACATATTGGGCCAGAGAATTCTTTATTGGGGAAGGCGGGCCTGTGCATACTAGGATGTTTAGCAACATCCCTGGCCACCACCTACCAGATGCCAGTAGCGCCCCTCTAGGGGTGACCACCAAAAGTGTGTGGCCAGTGTTCCCTGAGGGCCCTCTAGCCCCTGGTCTGTGACATCTGATGGCTAGAAAACTCCGTGGTGGGCTGGAGGAGGGGGATGGGGCGCGGCTCTGCTGTTGCGTAGACCTGTAGCCCTTTACTGCATTTCTCTAAGCCTGTAGCTTCCTTGTCTGGAAGATGGGGATCAAAATAGGGCCCGCCGCTTAGGACTGGTGGTTAGCACAGCATTTCGCTCAGTGCCTGGCTCATGTCGGTACGTACTAAATGTTAGCTGTGTCATTATCAAATCCAGGGGGCTCTTAGTCAGTTCTGGGCATCCAGTGGCCAGACTGCTAGAAACATGTACAGGGATGGCTTCTCTGCTGGGAATAAAGTGGACTCTTTCTTTAGGAGGCAATTTGCTCCCAGGAGGTCTTCCTGGAGGAGGAAGGAGAATCGTACAGGAGAGAACCCCAGGGAGAAGGGGTGTCCTTCATGCATTTTACCAGTATTTACTGAGCACCTACTGGGTACTTCTCTTACCTCCCCAGTCTGTCCTGGGCTCTACCCCACTCAGCCTGGGACAGTTTGGGTTTGTTTCTTTAAACATCATCTCTGTTGCATCGTAGGCTGGGTCTGGGGTATCCGCCAGTCCTGATTGGGGTCTGCCTACCCTGCCCTGGCTGGCAGCTGCAGCGGACTCTCCAGCGGACCAGGAGACCTTGGGGTGAACGCTATATACCATTTGGTACTGGGTGCTTGGGCCCCTCTCCTGGGGGTTAATTGAATCATTGCTGCGCAGACAGCTTGGGCACCTGGCTAGGCACCCCCACTCAACTTTCCTCGGCTGCTTCTCCTGCCCCCACAGACAGAATTAGGATCGAATCAAATGTCTTCAAGCCCTTGATTCACAGATGAGAGCCAGGACCAGAGAGGGGCAGTGACCAGCCTGAAGTCATGGGGCAGTGAGTAGGGTAGGAGGGTAGAAGCATCTAGCTCTCTGGGCTTGACAGTATACTCAGGGGACATGGACCACCTCTTTCTTAAGTGGGGACCAGCTGCCTGCCTTCCATACTTTGGGGAAGGCCTTGTGTCCACATTTGGAGACACCGAGGCATGGTCTCTCTTGGAGTCGAGGAGGCAGAGCATGGTGGGGTGAGTGGCAGCGAGTGAGATGTCCCTCTGCCCTCCCCCCACCCCCATTCAGCCCCTAGCTTCCTGGCTTTGTAGTCATGGACCCTGAAGGAAAGACCCCAGCTCACAGCCAAGCTTACTCAAGGGCCCCAACCTTTCTTCTCTTTGAACCTCCTGACAGCCCTAGACACCAGGCAGGATTCTAAGTGCCACGTTCACATGAAAAATCTGAGCTCAGGGGTTTCAAGGAATTCATTTTAAAAGCAGTCATATCCACACTCCACCCTGGACCTTCTGGCTCCAAGGCCGATTTAGGTGGCCAGCACTGGATGGGCATGGTGGGCCCCCTGGAGGAGGCATCCCCAGACACCATGCTAACTGTTGAGGAATGAGAGCTTTGGGGGAGAGCCCCCTGGGGCTGGCCACGGGGTAGATGACCTCCTCGCCCCAGTCAGGCAGGGACATAGCCTGTGCAAAGCCAATCAGAACTCCAGTCCTTGGAGCATGCCAAGAACCGACCAGTGCAGGAGCTCTCAGTCCCTAATCCAGGGAAACTGAGGCACAGAGTTGTTGCACTGAAGTAAGTCAAGTCTGCTGGCGCCCCCTCTAGGGCTCTTTCTACAAGATCGTGCCATCCTGTGCCTGGGTGTGCACGTGTGTGTGTGTGTGTGTGTGTGTGTGTGTGTGTGTGTTTGCCCAGGTGTGAGTTTGGACCCGAAGCAGCGTCTCATGCATGCATTGCCCTTGCCCCAGGGCACTGGATGTCCAGATTGTGCGCTCCTTCTCAAGACCTCCGGCAGCAGCCCCCCAGGTCTCTGTGGACCATGAGGGACGTGGCTGTGACCTTCCTATCAGGCTGCTCTCATGTTGTTGTGGGGCCTGCGGTTTCCCTGGAGGAAGCCCGGCTCCGAGTGGGGCCTGTTAAAGCACTTATTAAGTTTCAAGTGTTTTTGGTAACAGGCCAGAGGGGCTCTAAAAATAGGGCTTGGTTGGGCATGGGGCATGGGTAAGCTTTCAGGTTTCCCGTCGCTGTCTGAGGATTCCCTCCTCTCCTCCTCTGAGCAAGAGACTACATAGATATACTAGTACCTGTGTTCTCCGGAGAATGCCCAACTCTGCAGGCATTTAGGAAATGCCTCACTCACGTCCTCAGGAGGCTGGGAGTTCAGGCCCTGCCGCCAGAAGGCCTGGGGTTTCAATGCAGGTTCTGCCGACAAACTCAGTTTTCTCATCTGTAAAACGGGGATAATTAGGTCTCCTCTGACGAATGCTGGCTGCCACTGGTTATCACGTGTGGAGGAAAAGGCAGTGTGATGTGGGAGACAGACGCACGGAACCCAATCTAACGCCGAGCAAGCTGGGGTTCACGTTTGGGGGTGTGGGGTCTGACCTGGTTCAACCTTCAGCAGGTTCTGGCCCCTAGGCCTTTGTGCCTCCGGTTGTCAGGCTTGGGATCCGCCCCCTGCCTGCACCCCGATCCTAGCTGCCCGCTTGCCCATGGCCGAGAGGCCCTGCGGGAGATTTCCATAGAAGGGTGCGTGCGTGCGTGTGCATGGCAGGGAAGAGAGCCGGGGCTGGAAAGCCCTCACTCCCGGCTCACTTGGCCCCTTGGTGTCTGCCTGGCAGGGGGACCCCATTCCCGAGGAGCTCTACGAGATGCTGAGTGACCACTCGATCCGCTCCTTTGATGACCTCCAGCGTCTGCTGCATGGAGACTCCGTAGGTAAATTGAATCCTTGTTCGGTGCTCTGGGGCCCCTGCTGAGTCCTGGGGAGCCGGGGTGGGGCTGGGGGCGCAGGGCAGGGGGCATCCTCTCTTCCTTGGCTTCCGGGTAACTAGAGGCCTGTGGCAGCCTGGGGAGGGCTTGGCCACACCTGTCCAGGGCAGGGCCGAGTAGGTGGATGGGTTGGTACCTGGGACGTGGGGCGTGGCAGGAGGAGCACCCACATGTGGCTCTGGCTCGGTGCATGGGGGTAGGGTGCCAGGAGGAGGGGGGCAGGGAGAAGGCGCCTAGGGCGCCGAATACGCTGAATGTGTATCCAGGTGTCACCTCGGCCAGGAAGGGTGGTGCCGAAGGAGCCATCTCCCTGCCCCTCTGGCCGAGGGCCCTGTCTGTGAGGTCTCCTGGGGACACCTGGGCCAGACCAGCGGGCAGCCCTGCCCTCGCCCAAGAGTGCACTCAGCGAATGGGCACGTGCTGGGTGGCACACACGTGGCAGGGCTCGCGGGCTGGGTCAGGAATGTATTTATAAACGCTGTCTTCAGAGCAAATTCCATTCTATTCTAACCTCTGGCCTGTTCCCTGGAACCCCGGTCAGCACCCCCCCTGCACCCCCAGCTCTCCTTCCCTCTAGGGTTTTGTCTCTTTGTCACTTTGTAATCCTTGCCCAGACTCCTATCTACGGGGGACAGCATTTCCTGTCTTTGTTTCCTCTCCCCGTTGGGCCCCTGGCTCCCTGTCAAAAGCATTCCCGGGCCCTTTCAAACCCGCCTGTGCCGGGGGCTGGCGAGGCAGGCGGGAGGGGGCCCCAGCTGGGCCCACCTATTGTTCACTAGGCCCCCCACCCGACGTCTCCCACACCCCCCGCCCCATGCCCGACTGGCCAGCCCTGGCCAGCACAATGGGGCAACTTCCAAATTTAGCCTTTCTGCAGTTTCTTTCCAAGGCCCTTGGCCCCCACCCTCGTTCAGTCCCTACACACCCCGGGTGGGGGTCGACATTGGAGACTGAGGTTTTCAATAGCGGGCCTGTTTCGAGGCAACCATGTGGCGATTTTTTCCTAATCAACTTACCCTTTCCACAAAGCACATCTTTCCCCCATCTCTTCTCCACCAGGGACATTCCAGAGATGGCAGGGAGAAGGGAAGGGAGCGAGAGGGACAGACAGACAGACGCGCCGCCGCGCGGGAGCAGGAGGCTGGATGGAATGCACCAGCTGTAGGGTTTGGGGGATGGTCTCCCCCAGACAGGAACCCCTGGGGGCCCCCACGGAAGAGCGGGAGCTTTGCTGTTGGCGGGGGCCAGCGGGGAGGGGAGACGGCAGGAGCAGCGAGGGGCTGTGTGAAGGGGGCGGGGGCTTGTCCCTGACACTGACACCCCTCGGTTTATTTGCTGACTCCTCAGCCATCAGAGAGCTAGAAGGGGCTGCCCAGGATTCAGTGTCGAGCTCAAAGTCCTCCTGTCTGGCCCTCACCTCCCGCAGTGGTATTGGCTGCCTCTAGAGAGAGGGAGGGATGGCTCCGGGGAGCAGCCGTGACACTGAGCTCCCCAGGCTGGACAAAGGGACAGTAGTTTGCGATCTGAGGAATAAACTGACCATAGGGCAGACCCGGGGCCAAAGGTTAGAGGGGAGAGGCAAACACAGGGAGACTGGACCCAGCCCCAGGCTAGGAAGGGCACAGGGTATGCACACCCCCATCCCAGCAGGCCGGCCCCCCGCCCCTCTCCGCCTTCGGCCCTCACTCCCGCTCCTTTCCCTCCTCCCTCTCTCCTGCTCAGCGGGGCCATTGTCCGGGGCTCCAGAGGGGCTGTGTCCAGGGCAAGCTGGTCCCCCCGGGGATTCTGGGAATTTCTCCATTCAGCACTTCCTATGGGAACGCTGGGCGGAGGGGCATTGGAAACTGGCCTTCCGAGCTCTGGGTCCTTGCCCTGCCCTGGAGGCTGAGGAGGGTTCGCTTACAGTAGCAAAAGGGAAGGGTTATTTTTAACTCCATTGACATGGGTTCTGTCCAAAAATGTGGCTGAAGAGGGATGCAGTCAGGGCCCCACCCACCCGCTGAGCCCCACGGCCACCCTGGGGGTCCTGGAGAGCCCCTTCGCAGAGCCGGGACCCTCCGCCGTACAGGGAACTGGAAAGGTAGTCTGTTGTTTGGGGGGGGGGGGAGTACCAGCGAGGGGTAAGGGGCCACCTCCCTGCCTTCCCCAGAGACCCCAGTGGAGTCCCCACTCCACGATGGGACCAGCCAGGGGATACCAGGGTGCATTCTGACTGAGCCTTCTCTTATAGACGAAGACGGAGCCGAGTTGGACCTGAATTCGACCCGCTCCCATTCTGGAGGCGAACTGGAGAGCTTATCCCGAGGGAGAAGGAGCCTAGGTGAGGCTGCAGGTGAGAATGGTGTTTCCTCAACGGTGGGAGCCAGGGAAGGAGGCCTGGGGCACGCAGCCAGCGCAAGGCTCTGGGCCACCCCATCCACCCCCCCTCCTGCTCAGGACTGGGTTAAACCGTAAGAGAGTATAACTGTTCTTCAAGACACTATATTTGAGTTGAGTTGAGTCACTACGCCCCATCCCCCAGCACATACCGTTTCCTAAATATAGTGGTTTTAAACTCATTTGTTCATTACTTCAACCCTGGAGACAGATATTATTAACCCCATTTTGTAAAGTTGGAAACTGTGGCCCAGAGAGGGGTAAAGGCATGGCTGAAGTCGCACAGTGAGCAAGAAATAGGGCTGGCATCCCAGCTGCCCTTCTCACTTGAACCCAGTGCCATCACCGTGGGCTGTGTGTCTCTTCTGCCGCTCAGGGCTGTGGCCTGGGTCAGCAGGCAAAGCTTGGGACCCTTCCCTGGGGAGGCCAGTGCGTACTCTCAGCCCACCTGTAGTCCCCACAGCACTGTAGACAGTGGCTAGGGGACCTCCAGATAAGAGTCGGTGGCCCAAGTTTCACTCCTCACTTTGAATTTGGGCAGCTAGTCCAGCATCAGCGTCTCTATGTGAGAATGATGACAGAGCCCAGCATCCACTGAACGCTTACTCCAGGCCACTCACGTTAGCCCTTAGAGCGGCAGGTGTTATCCGCTGTCACACATGCAGGCGGGAACAGGCTTTGAATGGAGCAAGGATGTAAGAACAAATGACGGTGTAAAATGGCAACATAGGAGTAGTTACAAAATAATAAGTGAGTAGGAGCAGGGAGTCGGGCAAGCCCATAAACGTGTGAAATCGAGGAATGAAATTGAGGGCTGGTGGAAGGAAACCGACATTTAGGACAGCCCAGCACTCTCTGAATGGTCTCACTCGATCCTTACGCGGTTCTTGGGTGTCGGATCTCATGGGGAAACTAAGGCTGAGCGCATATCAGCAGCCTGTCCAAGTCCCACAGCTGATAACAGCCAGAACTGCCCCTGGGGTTGAAGGAAGTGGGGATCCGCACGCCACTTCTTCTTTTTTAAAAAAATTTTTTAATGTTTTATTTTTGAGACAGAGCACAAGTGGGGGAGGGGCAGAGAGAGAGGGAGACACAGAATGCGAAGCAGGCTCCAGGCTCTGAGCTGTCAGCACAGAGCCCCACGCAGGCCTCGAACTCACAAACTGTGAGATCATGATGGGAGCTGAAGTCGGTCGCTTAACTGACTGAGCCACCCAGGTGCCCCCAGCCTGCCGTTTCTGACCGACAGCACTACCCCGCTGGGCTTGGCCACCAGGTGGGGGCGCTGGGCCGGCCCACCTTCCTGATGGAGGCCCCCCTCTCCCTTCAGGTTCCCCGACGGTCGCCGAGCCAGCCATGATCGCCGAGTGCAAGACCCGCACGGAGGTGTTCGAGGTCTCCCGGCGCCTCATAGACCGCACCAACGCCAACTTCCTGGTGTGGCCGCCCTGCGTGGAGGTGCAGCGCTGCTCCGGCTGCTGTAACAACCGCAACGTGCAGTGCCGCCCCACCCAGGTGCAGCTGCGGCACGTCCAGGTGCGCGCCACCCCCCTGCTGGCCCCGGCGGTGGGCGGGGCCTGCCCTCCCTGGCTGACCAGACTTCCCTAGGGGCGGAGAGGCATTCCTGGCAGGTCCCTGGGCTCTGTCCCGAGAGGCCGCCTGCAGACGCTCTCTGGACAGGTGTGCCGAGGCCCCCTGGGAGTTCTCAAGGCCACCCAGGCTGCTGTCACCAAAAGCCACAGGCAGACCCCAGGCAGGGCCAGGCGTGGGATATTAAGTGAAGGGCGCTGCCGCCTCTTTTCCAGGGATAAAATCCCAAAATGTCCCTGGAAGAGACGTGTCTACAAGCCTTTATTGGACCCTCAGAATGTTCTGGGCTGCTCAGTTTTCCTCCAAACCCATTGAGGCTCCTTGCTTTAACAAGGAGGGTGCAGAGACCCTCCAGGCAATAGACATTGCAAGAGTTGGGGCGGCCCCCTGGCAGAGTCAGAACACTGCATCCCGCCTCCTTTCTGGAAAGATGGGGTATGCACTCCGACTCGAGGCAAATTCTGGAGTAGAGGCTGCCTTGGGGTCTCACGCTGGGCAGGGCCGGGCCAGAGAAGCCTCTGCTGTCTTCGGATTCACGTGGAAAGGTTTCTGTGCTCCTCGGGGCGGCCTCCCCTACACACCGGCTGCGCCAGGCTGCGCACCAGGGCCCAGCACCAGCTGGCGAGCCCCACTCTTGCCAAAGGCTCCACCTGCTTCGCCACACTCCCCCTCCCTGAGGTCAGCTGTGGCCTTTCCCCCTGCCCACCAGCCACCCAGGCCTGGGCCCCGTGCCCGAGATCACAAGTGTCACTCTGTACCGCTCCACCCGCTGTCATGGTATCTCCTGTCCCCAGCGCTTCCAGCTCTGTGGACACCTGACAGCTGACCTCCCCCTTCCCGCCTCCCTCCTGGATAAAGCCTCCCCCCCACTTCCTTCCAGACAACCATCTCCCGCCTCTGCCATAGTCCCTGACCTTGGCTGGCGCTCCGGGAATGAGGACACCACAGGCCCTACGCTCAACCCGGAAATGCCTTTCTCCCTCTCTGGGAGCTCCAAGGGGGCCGCAGCCGAAGCTGGAGGCCAGGTCCGGAGGGCTTGTTTTGATGGAAAAGCCACGAGAAGGGTAGAGGGCAAGGACCTGCTATTGTTTGGGCCAGAGCGTCTGCCCTGCCTGCCTCTCTCCACGCCCTGCTTTCGAGGAAAGCTCCCTGCAGGGGACACTGGGGTGGGAAGAGCAGCGCCTCCCGCAGCCCCTGCCTGTGTAATCTCCCAGAGGCACTCAGGTGGTTCTGTCTTCCAGGTGAGAAAAATCGAGATTGTGCGGAAGAGGCCAGTCTTCAAGAAGGCCACAGTGACCCTGGAGGACCACCTGGCGTGCAAGTGTGAGACGGTGGTGGTGGCTGGGCGGCCCGTGACCCGAAGCCCGGGGAGTTCCCAAGAGCAGCGAGGTAACCGCTGGTCCGGGCTCTGCCTCTGAATTGCTCAGCCGGGCAGCTCGCTTCTCCTGTGGCAGCTGCCAGTGGGGGGAAATTGGACCAGGCATACCCCTGCTTAAATTCAACCGAAGCTTTCCATCTCATGGAGAACAATCTAGATTCCTCCCTGCCTGTGAGGCTTTACATTTCCAGCCTTGTTGCCAAGCATTCATTCCCCCTCACGTATGCCACCCCAACCAGCCTGACCTCTTTACGTGGCCAAATATGTTGCTGCCTCAGGGCCTTTGCACATACCACTTTCCATCTGAAATTCACTTCTCTCAACTCTTCACAAGCCTACTCCTTCTCTTCATTTGGGTCTCAGCTCAGAAGTCACCTCCTCTTATAGGTCTACCCTGACTACCTTGTCCAGAGCAGCCCCCAACCCTGCCTTGTACCACAGCCCCTTACTTTGTTGAATGAGTACATAAGATGGTGGGACAAGAGAACATTCCACACATATCATCTTCAGATATTTGACAACTTGTCCCGGGGATGAGAAATCACACTAATTCCTTATGGCCCTCAGGGGAGGATTAAGACCAGTGCGGAAAACCACTGGAGAGAGATTTGAACTCTCTATGCCAAAAGCTGTTGGTCAGTCAGGGGGCCAAGATGGGATTGTTGCCTTGTGTAGTTGTGAGTTTCGGTTGTTGAAGGTGTGTAGGTAGAGACCAGGCGGTTCTGCTGCAGTAATGTGACAGATAGATATTTGGAACCAGAACTCTGTTCCTCTCTTTAGATTTCATGAATTCACGATTTCAGAGGCATAGTTTGACTTGAGTTGAAAGGGACCAAAAAAAAAAAAAAGACCTGATCCAATTACCTGGTCCACATTTACAGAGGAGGTGCCTGAGGCTCAGAGAGGCTGAGATCTTGCCCAACGTCACACAGCCAGTCCCAGGCAGGAGTATAGCCAGAATCAAGGTGTCCCAAAGTTCTATTCTTGGCTCTTCCCTCACCCTGACGCCAGCCACTGGCTCTTACCCGCCTTGTCATTTTCTTCTTTTAAAGAATTTAAAACTTTGAGAGCTAGAGCAGTCCAGAGAGATGACCTTCTAAGTCAGTCCTTCAGTCTTCTTAATGGGGTTGCTGGAGCACAGAGAGGTTAAGGGACTTAATGAACGTTGCACAGTGACAAAGTGTAGCCCAGAACCCAGGTCTTGTCTAGTTCTGGGTTCTTTAGACCATCCTGCCACCTTTTCTCCCTCGCACGTTTGCAGTAAGGATCAAGAATTATTTAGTTAATACTATTAGATGAACATGAAAAAAATCACATGTTGGTTTTCAGTAACTTTCTGCTGTTGGAGGACAGACATCTTACAAGCCTCCTGAAAGCAGGGCTGCCTCTCAGCCTCTTCGTCCTGTTCTGAAAGCCGGGCTAAGGCACGGATGCCCTGGGAAGATTGATAATTTGCCAGCTTCAAACTGACCTGTTGTAAATGATTCATACAATTAACGCGGAATGACATAGAATATCAAGTAATATGGAATCGTAATAAGAGCGTTAACATAGCATGGTCTCTCTTCAGGAAACATCACATTCTTCTTTGTGTTTAGAACGGGGTTCTTTTACGTGCCTCTGCTTCATGTGACTTTCCAAACCAGGTTTTGGAAGGCCTGTTCAACTGACTAATATGTAGATTACATAAAGTCTGTCATGTCAGTTTCAGCCGCTCAGCCCCACGTGACGGTGCTGCTGGCAGCTGCCCGCAGCCTGGCTAAGGCTGGCTAGTGTGGCCCGTGTGATGGCCAGTGTCGGACCTCCTGGGCCCGAGACTCTGCTGTGTCACTCACGAGCTGCTTAATGGCCCTTCTAGATGTCCTCCCCAACGGGCGACCTGAGACTGCATGTGTCCTTCCATTGCCCATTTGCAGAGATGGGCTAACTGCCCCATGGCTGCTTGTGTCTGTGAGGCGGGAGGTCCGTGTTGGCCCCAAAGAGCTGGGGATGCTGGGGAAGGCCCCCAGGAAGAGATGGACCTTGAACTTGGTGGAGAAAGCTTTCACTTCCAGGATGTGGACCTAAGGGTTCAGGAGGAAGAGACCTAAGTGCTAACCTTGACCCAGGCTCATAAGCACTGTGATTTATAGGCCAGTGGTTGAAAGTATTGACTCCAGAAGCCGACTCCTAGGTTCAGATCACATTTTCTCTGCCTCAGTTTCCTCATCTGTTAAGATGAGCCCCTCCAGAGGCTGTCCACCAGCTGACAAGACCTTTCTTTCTCTCGAGCAGCCAGGACACCCCAAACTCGGGTGACCATTCGGACGGTGCGAGTCCGCCGGCCCCCCAAGGGGAAGCACCGGAAGTTCAAGCACACGCATGACAAGAAGGCACTGAAGGAGACCCTTGGAGCCTAGGGGCATCTGCAAGAGAGTGCGGGCAGGTGAGGCCAGGTGGGGAAGCTGAGGTCCAGAGCCCTGGGATTTCTTCTCCCTGGCCTGTGGCTTGGGCTGCATTTGCCTTTCCCCGTATGAAAATCTGAACCCTAAGCCAGGATCCCTTCCACCCAACTTCAACTGACTTTTCCCATGGGGTAGGTGGGTGAGGGTCTTTGGGGACCCCAGCCCAGCTGTGTCCCTGCATGCCCTAAGAGAATGGGAAGTCTAAACCTCAGCTCCCTGTCCCTGACGAGAGGCGTGTGAGTATGGGATGGAGCCCCGAGGCTGTCTCTGACCCTCTGTCTCCCTCTGCTTGGCCCACAGGGTTATTTAATATGGTATTTGCTGTATTGCCCCCATGGGGTTCTTGGAGTGATAATATTGTTCCCCTCGTCCGTCTGTCTCGATGCCTGATTCGGACGGCCAGTGGTGCTTCCCCCCTTCCACGCGCCTGCCCACCCACCAGCGGGTCCCCTCATTGGCCTCCAGCGCCTTGCCCGGAAGCTCGAGAAGGAGACGAAGGACCTGAACTCCATTGCTGTCTTCCTCCGCTGACCCCCGAGAATCTGGGAGAGAAGGGCACGAGAGACCCATGGCATCGCTGCTCGGGGCCTGGAGCTCCCTCCCCCAGCGCCTGGCCCAGGTCCCACCGGAGCGCCGTGGACTGGCTGAAGCCCTGCTCGTGGCCCTGAGGCCGTCTAGGCGTGGAGGCCCTGCCTGGTCCCAGGCCCCCCAGCCAGCTCTGAAGGGAACCCGCCCTCCCCGGGCAGGCCAGGGTACCTCGTCTTTCTGTGGCTGAGACCACGCGTTGAACCAGAGACTGGAGGAAAATTCTCCCACGGCACCCAGGCCCGGTCACTTCTCCCTGGTCACCTCTGCTTACAGTGGCTTCCTCTCGTTTTCTACCTATGAAATCTTTGAGGATGTGGACTCCTCTGGGTGGGCGTGGCCCAAGCACCAAGCAGCCAAGTGCCCCCTCAGATGGGTTAGAGATGAAGTTCTGGTGCCACCATGGATGATGATCTGGGCACTCACTGCCTCCCTCCACTCCTCTACCTTCACCTCTTCTGTTTCATCTCTCTACCTCCACCCTGCGTCTTCCTCTTGTCCTGGCCTTCAGTCTGCTCCACCAAGGGACGCTTGGACCCCATACCGAGGCCGTGAATAACCCTACTCACTGCCCCACTCGGCAGAAGACCAGGGGTCAGGGCAGCAGGGGGCCTGCGCATCACATCCCAGCCCAGCCAAGACGGCCGTGTAGGTTCGTGCAGGGTGTGCACTGCACAAGGGCACCGCGTGCAGGGGTCATTGTTCATGCCGTAGAACGTGGCCAATCTGTGTATTCGTTAGGACGGTTTCCTGGCAGATGGAGATAAAATGTCTTGAGGAGAGGGATCCTTTTCCTAACTGACCCAAAGGCTCCAAGTGGACTGGCTGTGTCCCGACCTCACCAATGGGCTTGGAGTGGTTGGACGGGAGAGTGAGCCCACGCTGGGTGGGGAGGCCACACGTCGTCCAGCCGGCCTCCATTTTCCTGAGTCCTCCGCTCAGGCGGTTCCCCTTCCTGGCAGGTGTGAAAAACCCTAGAGAAAGGCCCTGGGGGAGGGGGTAACCCTTGCTCTCTCCCTGTGCACTACCCCCACAGTAGATTCCACCCCTCGAGGCTCCTCCCAGGAAACCGGCTCATGGGCTGGGAGTGGGGGAAAGAAGGGAAAAGAATCCCGGGGGTCCCTGGGGTGGAGTCTGATCTCCCACCTCCCCTCCACCTACTGCACCTCCCCCCCAACCCCCCTCCTAAACCTGCTTTCTTCAGTTTGTAAAGTTGGTGATTATATTTTTGGGGGCTTTCCTTTTATTTTTTAAATGTAAATTTATTTATATTCCGTATTTAAAGTTGTAAAAAAAAAAAATAACCACAAAACAAAACCAAACGAATGAAGCCGCCGGAGTTCGGTCTGTTGGCATGGTGCGTGACAGTCCCCTTCCCGCATTGGCCGGGTTTACGGGCAGCTTGCTGTGTGTGTTCCCGTAGCTCTGGGAAGTTCCGGCACACACTCACGCACACACTCACACCTGGGTGCACGCACGCACATGTGGGTCTGCGGCTCTGAGGGAGGCCCCTGTTTGGGGGGCTTACAGGTAAGAGCCTTACAGCCCAGTCTGCAGGTCTTGGACCTGCAGCAGCTCATGACACGCGGACCATGGGTCCTGTACCTGTCACTGGTGCAAGGGAACCAGACCCACTGCATCATAGGCTGGGGTTGGCTGTGGGGAGGGGATACCCAAGGTGGGGAGGCTGGAGGAAGTGTGGAATTAATTCAGAATGAACACAGCCGAGGGGGTGCCTGTGTGGCTCATTCGGTTAAGCATCCAGCTTCGGCTCAGGTCATGATCTCTCACTTCATGAGTTCGAGCCCTGTGTCGCGCTCTGTGCTGACAGCTCAGAGCCTGGAGCCTGCTTCGGATTCTATATCTCCTTCTCTCTCTCTGCCCCGCCCCTGCTCACACTCTGTCTGTCTGTCTGTCTCTCTCAAAAATAAATAAACATTAGAAAAAGTTTTTTCATCAGAAAAAAGAAGGAACACAGCTGAGAGGTGGATCTGGGGTCTGATCTGGGCTCAGCCCTTAGCCAGCTAGCTGTGTGGCCTTAGTTGAGTCGTAGTCTTTCTCTGGTCAGAGCCTCATCTGAAGCACAAGAAGATGATCAGGAGACTTGTGGCCTCCAAGGTCCAGCTGTGGGGTTTGGTGCCTTCCCTTGCCTACAGAGACTTGGGTACCATCCCATAAAAAAAATATACTAAATGTGTCCTGGGTCCCACGTTTATGTAGACTGAGGCTGATGGGGAAACCCAGGAGGTGGGGAATCTGACTTACCATTAGGACAGTCTAAACCTAAAGCCATTTTGCCCATGAAAGTAGTGATCTCCCTGTCGCTGGAAGTATGTAAGTGGAGGCTGGGTGACAACTTGGCTGAGGTTAGACTGAATGACACCATGACTGAGTGATTCGTTGACTGACTCGTTCATTCATTCATTCATTCGTTCATTTGCTTACCTTCTTGAGCCCTATGATGTGTCTGTCTCTAGCAGGGCCTTTTATCGCAGTTTGATTTAAATGCTTCCTGGGATTCTGCTCTGAACACTTGAGAAAGTGGAGTCCATCTGTTGTGGGAGCTGCAGGTCAGAGGACTGCTACCCCTGCCTGTCCAACTCCGCAGGACCCTCCCTGGTCCCTGCCACCTGACCACCTAGCTTAGAAGTTTTTATTCTTTTTTTCTCAAGTAACCTTTGTGTCCAACGCCCAACTGGGCCTTGAACTCATGACCCTGAGATCAAGAGTTGCATGCTCTACTTACTGACTGAGCCAGCCAGGCACCCCAGGAGTTTTTACATAAGAAAGGAAGAAATTTCTTTCTGTTTGACCTACTCTTTTTTTTTTTAATGTTTATATTTATTTTTGAGACAGAGAGAGAGAGACACACACACAGGGTGCAAGCGGGGGAGGGGCAGAGAGAGAGGGAGACACACAGAATCTGAAGCAGGCTCCAGGCTCTGAACTGTCAGCACAGAGCCCAACCTGGGGGTTGAACTCACGAACCGTGAGATCATGACCCTAAGCTGAAGTCGGGCACTTAATTGGCCAGGCGCCCTTTTGTTTGAGCTACTCTTTTTTTCATTTTTGTCCTTTGAAATTGAACCTCATCCTAGTACATAGCCCCCTTCTTTCTGGGAAAGAGATGATGTGGCCACCAGGCTGGTCTGGGCACCTGGCAGTTGGCATCACCTGGTGAATGCTTCTCCTCTGTTTGAGGCCTGCTCAGATCTCAGTTCCTCTAAGGAGCCCTCTCTGTTCCAGCCAGCAGCCCTCCTCCCTCAACCCGAGGAGAACTGGAGCTCTCTTTAGACGCTTAGCGTTTACTGCGCCCAGAAAATAACAAACTAGTGAACACTGGCAGCGTATAAAGTAAAATGTCTGTGAAAATACTCGCTGGGTTGTTTTCAGCAGTGGAGGGAAGAATGAACAGTGAAGTATGGCACAGAGGCTCGGAGGCTGAGATCACACAGCTCCCGACTGGCTGGTCCCAGCCACGTGCTCCTCCGCTGACACCATAGCTGGTGTGTTTCCCACCATTTTGTTGTGTTGGATCAGGAGCCCCAGAGCCCCAACTCCTGTGCGTCGCCTGAGTTATGGTCCTGATTCAGCCACGTGGTTACTGCGATCCTGGAAAAGCCCCGCTCCTCCCCGATCTGGGCCTCTCTGCAGATGTCAGCCTTCCTGAAAGGGCCGATCCCCCTCCCGCCCCCACCCAGAGCCCCTCTTTCATACCCTACTTCGTTTATCTTCATAGCAATTGTCTCATCTGGCTCGCTCTGCATGTCCATCTTTTCCCGTCTCCCCTCCCTGCCCCGGAATCTCCACATGGAGGTATTTTGCTCACTACTCTATACCCAGAGCTCAGGATATTGCCTGCTACATACATGCTCATAAATGCCTGTTGAACAAATGAACTAAAGGTCTGTTATTGGGGCAGTCAAGTGCGTCTGCTCCAAGTCACAGTTTAATGTTGACCACACACTGGGCTGTGGCTGGAAAATTGCAGATTCTGATGGTGTCACTAACTGCAGATAAGATAGTTGAATTTCCCAGCCAACTCCATGCTCAGCTCTGCATCTTCCTTGTTGGAAGAACCTCTAGGGTTAGAGGTAATGTCAAATCCATCTTCTAAGTCCATCTAGCCATTGTCTCTCTGTATGTGTCTATACTTCTCCATCCATCCATCCATCCATCCATCCATCCATCCATCCATCTGTCCATCCATTCACCTACCCATCCACCCATCTACTTACCATCCATTGATTCCCCATTTATCCACTCACTCACCATCCATTTATCCATCCACCTATCCATCCCCTACTGATCCATCCATTCGCCCACCTGTCCATCCATCTATCCATCCATCCGTCCATCCATCCATTTATCACTATTTATCTCCTCCCTTCTTTATCACTTTCACCACGTCCCAAGTTCTATACTTGCCACCTCATTTTATTAACTTCTGAGGAGCTCAGTGCCACCATAGAGAGAACACGGGTTTAGCAACAGAGCACAGGTAGGTCCCTGTCCCAGTATTGCTACCTCCTGCCTGACCTTGCAGAGCTGGTACCTGGGTTAGACACATGGAGGCCAAGCACTGCTCCTGGCGTGTGCTTCACCTTCTGTCAGTGAAGTACAGAAGGGGGGGTTGGTAGTTTTGAACTCTCAATGCCCAGCAAAGGGCAGTGCAGTGAAGCTGGATGCAAATGGAAAGATGAACACAGTGGGATTAGAATTCAGCTGCAGGCAACGTGAGTTTATATTCCAGCCATCGTCCCTTTATTCTGCTCAATTAACCCGACAATCCTTTCAGACAGATGTTATTGTCCTCATGTTACAGATGAGGAACCAAGGACTCAGCGAGGTTCAAGCCCCTCCTCCTCCTCTCCGGTGCCTGGTTCTTCTGTAAATGGCCACAGTCCCCTTGGAGGAGTGTGAGGGAGATTAGTGGACAGACGTGGAGCATAATGTCAGGTCCTTCCCTCATTTAGTGGAGCTCTGGGTCTACGAACAGACCTCGTCTGGGGGTGAGGGGGGGAACCACATGTCTCTGTCCCCAGTGGGAGTGGTGTTGGGGGGAGGGGTTCACATCCAGTTTCTGTTTACTGGATCCAGACTTTTCTGATTATAAAAGCCGCATGTCCTTGTGGGTTGCTGATCCATCCTTGCTTTGGGGACCCTGTGATCCACTAGCCCCACAAGTCCCCCCTGGTCAGACCAATGAGATGGCTGCTCAGTCCTGCCGCGGTTATGGTAAGCGCCCACTCTGCCCCCGGGCAGTCGTTGGGTCCTGTGCCTCCCAGCTTGGTTTCCACCCTAGAAACCAGGAGTCAGGCCACCGGCAGGACCCCACCGGGACACTGGGGCCTTCTGAAGGCTGTTGGGCTGCGTCAACAGGTGGTGCTCGCTGTCCTGGTGAAAGGGTGTGGCTCAGGTGCGGTGGGTCACCCACGGTTAACTCACAACTCTGCATTATACCCCGGCATCTCTGTCATCCCCACCTCAGTGAGCATGGGCCGCCGCTGAGTCAGGCTTCAGCAACCTACCTGCCAAGCCATAAACCATCCTGGAAACAATCAGAGCCACCCCCAGCTGAGGGGACCGGCACCTTGAATCCAGAATTGCCGGTTGGTACGGCCGTATTAATAAGTTCGGCTCAACTGATCCGCTCACACATTGCCTCCAGATTTTTGATCATGTGAAATAGTGAAGTTATGCCCAGATTTTGGGCTGGAGTTGATATTCAGCCCCATGCCACTGGACATCTGGGGACCCCACTGTGGCCTGAAAACATGGAGGGGTGGGGGAGCATGGGGGAGGGTCACCAAAGGGGCCCTGTTAAAGCAGGATCAGCATTATCAGACAGTGGGGACGGGCTGCTTCAGCTGCAAGGGGGCTTGGTGGGAATCAGGAGTTCAGCACCACCCCAGCCCCTCCCACGTAGCTCCATGCAAATGCCAAGTTCACTCTTTCCCAGTGAAAGGTCTGACTTTCATGGAGCAGAGCTGGTGAGGCCGTGACAGCCGCTAATGATTTAGCTCACTGTTCTGCGGGCTCAGATGTTAGCTTTCAGCCTGGTGGCTGCAAGAATTGGGTGGGTGGTACACTTAGCACAGAAGTCCTCGGTTGGTTTCTGATCCAGGTCTTGAGCCAAGATTCTAAGATTTGGGAGATTGTTTTCTGTTTCTTCAACTGTCCAGCCCTGTGAGAACCAGCTAGTCTCATCCTCATTCTCTCTCTCTTTAATTTTGAGAGTTGGGGGAGGGGCAGAGAGAGAATCCCAAGGAAGTTCCATGTTCAGTGCAGAGCCA